GGGGGAAAGGGTATTTGGGTTTGAGGTAGATCTTACATTGCACTTAAATTGAAAAAGTGACCTTGTGGTTAAAAAGGTTGGAGACCACTGCTCTAAGCCTCTTCTCCAAACTCCCTCTGCCCCCAGCCCCTTGAATACACATGCTATGCACACAGTGTCATGCTCACCAATCCTGATAAAGGCAGGCAGACTTCCCCTGTTGGGGAAAGGGTATTTGGGTTTGAGGTAGATCTTACATTGCACTTAAATTGAAAAAGTGACCTTGTGGTTAAAAAGGTTGGAGACCACTGCTCTAAGCCTCTTCTCCAAACTCCCTCTGCCCCCAGCCCCTTGAATACACATGCTATGCACACAGTGTCATGCTCACCAATCCTGATAAAGGCAGGCAGACTTCCCCTGTTGGCCAGGCAAGATCAGTCTCTCTGGATCTTAACTGCTGCACATCAGATCATGCAGAGGAGTTCTGGCAGCTCTGGTCTTAGGCTGAGTCTTGGAGGTGAGTTCTTCCAGGTTTTCCCTACTTCTTTTGGTGTTCCTTTCTTTCTTTGCTTCCCTTTTCCTCTTCTTGCTTTCCCCCTCTTCCTTTTGCTTCTTCTCCTTCCTGGACCCCAGTCTATATAGCAAAACTTGAGTCCTGCTTAGTTATACCTTAACCAATTATTTTAGTATAATTCACTAACCAATCATAACATACTGTCACAGAAGTACCTAACCAACCTAGCAAAATTAATTATACAGCAGACAGAAACAATTAGAAAGCAGACAGAGATCACACAAACATTAGGAAAGTAAGGACAATAATCATAGAATGCAGATTCCACAACCTCAATTAATGGTAAACAATTTCTTGCCAGACGAAATGCTGTTAATTTAGTTTTCTCTTTACCCTTCTTGATATCTGTTTCTTTCTCTGGTGACAGTGGGGGCCACTAGGACAGGATCCTCTTCTCACAGCCTAGTGTGATACTATTTTAATGCAATTTAGAGGGAACGTGAGTATATGTCTCCAGGCTTTACAGCTAATGGCTGCTACTCTTCAGTTTGGCTGCAGAAGAAGGCTTTAGTTTAGGTCTTCCAGTATGGCTACAGAAAAACCATATTGTTACATTTGCAGAGCCCAGGTGAACCTGGGAGATGAAGAGGGAGGGCTCAGGCTGGCCCCTCCCTGCTCCAGGCAGAAGAGGCCCTACTCCTTTTGCTGTTTGGAGCTGGGCTTAATGCTGCCCCCTGGAAGTTGGTTCCGGCCTTCCTGCTGTTCAGAGAACAGGTGCTGTGATTGCAACCCAGACCAGCCTCCTCGTTCAGCCCATTGCACACTGCCAGGTACCCCACTGCCTGCAGTCAGCTTCCTCTGAGCCACCTCCAGATGACCAGGGCAGCCAATCCTTAGCACAGCTTGCCTGGGTCCCATACTGGGAACGACAGGGGTGAAATTCTGCAGCCAAAGTGCTGCTGTGTGTAGCCATGAGGGCTGCAGAGTGAGCACTGCAGCTGGCTATTATGCTCTCCCTGGGAACTCCTGAGCCAGGGCCTCCCCCAGGGCCAGGCAGCTGCAGTGGGGTGGGGGTGAGTACTTGGGGTGATGTTCAAAAGCTGGGGGGCACTTAATTGTTGCCTTGAGAAGAGTAGCAGGAGCCTGACCCATGCAGCCACCTGCAAAGTTCCATGGTGGGGGGAGACCTTGCATCTGGCAGGGGCACATTGGAAAGCTGGTGCCCCCAGGTGAGGAAGGCGCAGCAGACAGAAGATGGGGTCAGATTTTCTGGAAGGAGGTTTCTGCCGCCCCCAGCAGCTCCTGCTTTGGGGGCCCCATCTCTCCAGCTGGCAGGCTGGGTAATGGGGAGGGGCGATTATGCAAGGCCCCCTCTGAGCCCAGCTGCTAGCACATATTAGAAGCTGCAGCTGATGGCCCCTGGAGATGCTGTGGCACATGAGACAGGAGGTGGACTGTGAGGGGGAAACAGGGAGCGTATCTGGAGCAGGGGCAGTGTTGATGTGAGGGGTTCCTATCCCAGAGCAGACGGGCCCACAAGCTCCTAGTCTGGAGGCAACAGTGCGAATGGCCGCCTGGAGGGGAGGCAGGAGGGGGCAGCAAGCAGGTGAGGGGGAGGGCATTCCTCCAGCAATGCTGGACAGGCTCGTGCTCAGCACCCTTCCCTGGGTGTGTGCTCAGGCTCTCGTCTCTTCACAGGACAGAGGGACTCTAGCCCTCATCTCCTGTGGGGGGGCTGGGGGCATGCTC